GAAAAGCAGCTGGTGCATTCGTGAGTCCAAAGGGCATGACATTATATTCGAAATGTCCATACCTGGTTTGAAACGCAGTCTTCCATTCATCTCCTTCTTTGATCCGTACTAGATTATATGCTCCTCTTAGATCTATTTTTGTATAGATCTTAGCTTGATTCAACTGGTCAAGGAGTCCTGATATCAAAGGTAATGGATACCTGTTCTTGATTGTGATCTTGTTGAGTCCTTGATAATCAACACACATTCGTAAAGATCCATCTTTTTTCTTTACGAATAGAATTGGAGCTCATGCTGGAAATTTTGAATGGCGTATGAAATTCTTCGCTAAATTCTCGTCAATATATGTCTTGAGTTTAGCCAACTCATCTTGCGATAAACTGTAAATTGGTCCAAATGGTGGCTGAGTTCCTTCCTTGAGGTCGATTGAACAATCATGTGGGCGATGCTTAGGAAGAATATCTGCATTCTTTTTCTCAAAAACGTCTTGATACTCCTGATATTGACTTGGAATGCCACTTGAAGTCTTTACGTTTTCAGAAATAGGTGCAGCATAAATAGCAAAAGTTGATCCTTCTTTTGCTGCGTGTATAAATGCTTTTGCACCTATCAGTACGGGTTTTACTATACTAGACTTATAATTTTTTACTTGGTTGGTAGAACTATTAATAACGCTCTGGGAAAAGTCAAGTTTATACAAATTCCAATCTATTCGAGGGTTATATTTTTCTAGCCAGGATAAACCTAAAATAACTGGATTGGATGGGGATTTAATTATGTTAAAAGCTATGTAGCTATCATGACCGTCTATTGTTACTTTTATAGGATGAGTTTCATGAGTGACATCTCCAGAAGACAAGGGACGACCATCTATGACTTCTACATGTACTGGTTTAGGTTTCTGTATAAAAGGTATTTTACGACTTTTAACAAATTGTTCATCTAAAAAACATGCTGAGGCTTCCGAATCTAATAAAGCAGAGGCTTTGTAATTCTTAGGTCCTAAATATAAGTCTATTATAAAACAAGGAGAGGGCTCTGAGGAGAGGATAGGACCTTCATTAGGAATTGTACAAGGTTCCAGCTGCATGGTCCCTATTGTAGCTGGACAAATCCGTTTCCCAACATGTTGTCTTCTTTGACCGTCGTACCCCTCATTTTATAGTTGCATCGTTTCTTTGGACAATGTTGAGCAGTGTGCTTAGGTTCTCCGCAATATAAACATAATCCTTCTTGACGACGACGAATCTTTTCTTGCTCAGTTAGGGGTTTAAAACGTACCGCGTCAATTTGCATGTCTTCTACTTCCGAATGTATGTTTGGCAAAGATGTTGATGTTGCCATTGAGTAATAACGTTGAGGTTCCCGTGAATGATTTTTGGATCGAAATTCGAAAAGTCGATTATCACATTTTACTTCAAAATCGATTGCTTGATTCAAAGTTTGAGGATCAAGTAAGTTGAGCATCAATTTCTTTACTTCGTATTGTAATCCATAAAGAAATTGACTGATGAGTGCAGCATCATCCCACTTGATGTCAATTGTAAGTTGTCAAAATTGTGAAGCATATACTATTACTGAGCGATTTCTTTGTCACAGAATTTGGATCTTATTTGTTGCAACACGAGTTGCATCGTGTTCACCATACATAGATCAAAACTCCGCCAAAAAAGCTTCCAAATTGTCCAATATTAGATTTTGTTGTTCAAGAAAAGACGAAAACCATGATAATGCAGAACCAGAAAGTAGAGTGCCAATAAACCTGACTTGTGATCCTGGAGTTGGATAGCTTTGCGGTTGAAGTTCAATTGCCAATTGTACTTGATTGATGAACCCTCGAAACTTTGATCTCGTACCATCAAATTTCTCGGGTAAGGCAATTCTTGGTTCTCTAGTGCTTATAGGGTGTTGTACAATTGGAGAAGGAACGTGATTTGTTGTAGATCTTGAAGCAGCTCTGATCATCTCTATATCCCCACTTTCTGCTATTCTTGCTCTTTCCTGTGTTGGTGAATTGAGTTGATGCATCGCAAGCATTAACTCCCTCATTTGCTCTTGCATTTGTGCCATTGCACTCTTCATTTCAACAAGCTCTGCCATAATGATACTAAGAAGAAAATTTTTTTTGATACTGCTCAAGACAAAAGAAAAGAAAGACTTGATAACAAAGAAGATACTAAGAACAATATCAGTTTAGAAGTGGGTAATCCGCAAACTTCTAATACGGTTATGTCTTGTCAAGAGAAAGGGGTAATCCACTCTTACTCAAGAAAAATAAAGCTGTGATATTGTAAGTGCACTCTTGTCAATCTGTCAAGGACAAAGACTCGATGAGAGAAAATATACACAAAAAGGCTATCTTGATATAATAAGTCAAAATATAAATAAGTATGTATATTAAATAGAAACTAGAATGGCTATTGCCAAAAGACAAGAAAACTAGAGACCCTTGAAACTAGACTGGAAGCAAGAAAAGAGTTGACAAGAGTGAAGAAGCCTTCACTCTTGTCTCTATATATACTATCTAACTAGGGGCTACGTGGCGATGTTCTATAGGACCTCCAATATGTGTTGACTTTGTAGGACACATGCCTTGACTTACAAGGCAAGTTTTTCTACGTGTGGGCCACATAGTTAGCTTGATCTTCAAGCTAACAACATGTGTGGCACATGGCCAACTTGTTGACCACGTTTCTAATCCAAAAAGTCAATTAAAGACACCTATGAAGTCAAAGCAGCGTCTAGAAAGTTTCTAGGAAGCTTCTATATTAAATATTATAGAATTAACTTACTTTTATATATTTTTACTTACTTTTACCTATTTCTATATGTAATTATTAGCTTACATGATTATGGCCGTAACACAATGTCCACATCTTGAAGCAATAAAGAAAGTCCTTTGCTACATGAAAGGAACAATATGTTACAATATTTTTCTTTCAATAGATTTGGACAAAAAATTCATACTATGCATAGATTTAGATTGGAATGAAGATTTGAACATAAGAAAATCAACAACATAGATAATCTTCAAGATAGGAAAGACGTCTTTACATTGGAGCAATAAGTTACAATCTATGATTTCACTTCTACTACTGGAGTAAAATATTAGATACTATCAAATAGTACAAAGGAGATAATGTAGATCAAAACATTAATGAGCAAATTAAGGCAAGATATAGAGGAGGCAATGATATTATACAACAATAATTATAGCTCCATCAAATTGGTTAAGAATTTAATTATGCATACAAGAACTAAGCACATAAAATTATAATATTATTATATTCTTGAATAAGTAGAAGAAAAAAATATTGAGGTTTCATACATCCATACTAGTGAGCAGCAAATAGACATTTTTATAAAATCCTTAGATGGGATGCTTTTCTAACAAATGTAATATAAGCAAGGAATTTACAACATTAAAAAGATTTTAAAGTGAGCATCTTACTACTAAGCACTTTCTTTAGAAGAGTAATCTTTAGTATTCAAAAGGTATCTTATTATTTTTTTTTAGCCTACTTTCTATTCCTAGTTCTTTTTTTTCTATTTAAAATGCTATCAAATAAAGAAAAATCATGCCTAAAGAGATTCAAATCCTCATGTAAGAAATAGCTGAATCTTTCAATCTTTAGTCTAAATAAAAAACTAAAAAAAAAAAATGCCTAAAAAAACAATTGCAACTACAATAATAATCTTCATGGTCTAGTTTGAAGAAAGTGATGACTTGTAATTTTGACAACCTTTCAAAAATAGAGTGCCACACTTGAGAGACTCATTGCAAGCAATAAAAAATAAAAAAAATAAAAAAAAAGAATCTTAAGCACAACAAAATATGATCATATATGTTGCAACACAATGTCATCAAGCAGGATCAAGATCAAGATGCCTAAGACTACACTTAGAGAAGACGCTACCACTTGGACAATGTAACTTGCCACCTTTAAATGAGTTGCAAGCACACCTTGACATCTATCTTTGAATTATTGATAAAGAAGATCTTAGCAACATCTCAAGAAAGTATAAATAAGCCACATCAACAAGAAAAGCATTTCTATCTATATACAAGGACTACACAAAGTTGTGTTAAGAGTTTGAAAGATTTTGACTCAAGGAAAGAAAGAAGAAACTCCATCTATTTAGAACTAAGTTATTTATAAGATAGAAGGTGGAGATCATTACATACTTGTTGCCATTTTGGGATCTTACCAAATTTGCCATCATGAGATTGAGGTCTTAAGAAGCAATAGTAACATCATAAGGGGCAAGGGAAAGTATTGGCGAAAATTACTTTCACATGCCTTCTTATGATAAAGTGTTTCTCATTTAGCAAAATTTAAGTCATTGCAAGAGGGCTACTAGGGCATTACAGTTCTTTAGGCTAGTAAATAGGAGGCCATGTAGTAGATTAGGTAGGATTACTTAGCACCTATTGTTCAGCAAGAATTTCTCTTCCAATGAAGATCAGAGTATATATATACACTACAAATGTACTGTTCTTAAACTGAGTTATTAACTCCTTGAGGTATATTAGTAAAAGGATCCTGTTTCTATAGTTCAACTTCACACATGCTGCCTGCTGCTGAGTAGGTAAGCTCATTGGCAAATTTATCTGCATACTCTATTCCCGTCCTTGTGATGATCCGCAGCACCATATTTTCTTTGACTACTACCACCCCATCCACAGAATGTACGATCTCATTTTCCGCAATGTTTACATCAATGGACCACCTCTCAGCATTCCATAGTGTACAATTCTTGGTCAACTTGACTATCTAAGCTTCCAGTTGTCTAATCGAGAAATCTCGTAAAACACATTCAGGGGGTGTAGTTCACCGCATTCAGGGTGACATGATCTTGAAAGATATAGTCAAGTTCAGCAAGAACAGATAAGGTTCGGTCATTTAAGAAAGCATTCCAGCGGTGAAACGCAATACATCTTAGCAAAAGGTGCTCCATCTAATAATGAGACATGAAGAGCCCATACATCTTGTATCTTGTAAGTTGCGGAAAAATAGAAGCTTTATGTACAACACAGTTTACAGGGGGTGTAGTTCACCGCTGAGGTTACCCAACTCTGGACGAGATACAAATTTGTGCACATGGATCTTTATCCTTGGATGAATATATCTTCAAATATCACTCATCTACGCAAAATCCTGCCCACATCACTAACTACATGCACGCCCTACACCAATAACAAGACATCAAGTGCTCTTCAGTAGTGGGGACCATTTAACATTATCTTTATCGTAGAAGAAAAAATTGCATGTTCTGAAGGATAACTACTTGCGTTTACATTTGAAAGACTCGACAAAAATTATTAGAAAGACGACGGGATCAGCTTTTGCAGAGCTAACTGCCTTGCTTCGTCTGAATCATCAAAATGTGGGTCATGAGGAAATAACCGCCTTAGATCGTCAGTTGGATTTGCCAACCAGTGCCAAAAAATCCAGGCAGCACCCACTCCTGAGGCCATCGATAGAGCTGCTAAACCTCCAAAATATTTTACATCATTGGCCACAATTGCAACTACCAGCATAACTAGTTCCGCTAAGCTCGCTAATGATACTTCTATTGTTCCCACGAGATTCGCTTGTGTAGCTGGAATCGCAGTTTGAAAAATTTGGGCATCTACCATATCATAAGCCCAGTAACCTAATCGAGATATCACCTGAAAAAGAAGCAACAAATCTGTTAGAAAAATGAATTAAGATTTTCTTGACAACGAGAATACTATGTAAAACAAACATCTTGCTATTTTGCTGCAGATTCCATGCACAACAGCACTGTCTATTGACGTGGAGCAGTTTCACTTCCTTGACTACAAGAAGAAGAGTTCAGGAGGGTGCATTGCAACTCACGGCTAAAAAGAGAAACAAAATCAATGAGGCTTGCGGCCCGATAGGGTTGCTCAAATATACTGTGACCGCTATTGCAAGTACCAAGGCTTGGAAAATCAACGAAGCTGCACCTGCCTGCTCAGACACAATACAGTCCCCACACATTATTTTACGATTCGAATCAATGACCAATCACTTATAAAACTATCATCACACAAATAATTATGTACATATTAAGTCGTGATGAATCGACATGGCAAGAGTACCTTCGACACCCCAAACTTGCTGATCATTGTAGCTGAGAGAAAGGTGGCAGCAAATCCCACTAGAGCGCATAATCCTCCAAACAGACCAACCAGTGATGCATTCACTCCTGTCAGTTAGAATTCGAAAAATGAGTTTTGATGCGAAGAACTGTGTGCCAATAGTTTTTTCTAAAGTTCAAAAACAACTCGGGAACTCATATTCAGTGCAAACAAATGCGTGTATGCAATGCATGTAACTGGAACACGCATTTCCGATCATGCATCGTTGGTCATTACACCACATAAATGATCAAGGCGCCCAACCTGTCCTAAAACACGACGATCTTATACTCAAACAAAAAAATTAAGTACCTTGCTGGGTGAGATATGTTGTCATCAAACCACCAGGAGCCAAGACTGCATTGAAATATAGAAGCACGTATGCTAAACTTGCAGGTAGTACAGGTTGCGCTAGATACTGTTTCCAACCCCTTATGACAGCTTGCAAGCCTCCCTCCGCTGCAAGTAAAATTAATCTCTTCCATTAGTTCCTCTACATCTTTCATGAAGTCACTGATGAACAGGCTGAAAATAAGACCCTCATAAACAAAGCAACCATGCACATCCAGCGAATTACAAATATAGTAGCTGTACAACAATGTCACGAATACTTCAACAAATCTATGTGTATACGTCACATACTTGTTTCCCACAATGTTAGCATGGACACTTTGCAAAAAATTCTACACAACTAAAACTCATCGCAATCACACGTGTATAACAAAACGGCTTTGATCTATTACCTGCTTCTTCATGATGTGTGTCTGCAGTGCTGCCCTTAGTCTTGTACCCAGGATTCGCATCTTTTGGACGCTGCAACGTTCCCTTGGAAAGTCTATCGGTACTATCTATCAGGTACAGCTGCAAATATCTATTAAAAAAATCAATCTAACTCGATGCACTTCCCACCCAACAAAAAATTATTAAACCACACTTTTTCAACCAGACCAAATCCATTGCATATGTTCTTCACAACCTACTTCATGGGTGGTATTTGGAGCCATACAAAAACAAGATAGCATACTTCCAGAACAGGAAGAGTGGCGATCATTACTACCACCGCCCACTTCACGCACAACTTTGGGTCAAATCGGGACAAACGTATCCCAAAAATGAAGGGACCTGATATCTGCGAAACGAAACAGTCTCTCCTTAAAACTTCAGCAAGCTTCCGAGGTCTACAAAAGACGAATGAACCTGGTCACACTAAACGAGAAAAAAACGGTGACTGAAGTAAGCGACCAGAATTATTACAACATAATCAATGCAGTATCGATCTCAAGTGATACCTCGCACACCAGCTCAACCCTGCGAAGAATGGCATTTGCATTTGCTAGGCCAATCCGCCGATTAGCTCCTGCCAACTGATCAAACAATCACAAATGATAATAAGTTCCAACAACCCTATGTAATAAAAACATGACCTTTAGGACAAAGCCGTCTGAAACACAGACAATATTGACGTTCTGCCAAATCTACTCCAACTAACGGCACTTACTCCAATAACTTCATGTGCTTAAAACCTAAAAATAGAAACGCATAGCTGTAAGAGGTGGATACTGTATATTCCAGCGTATTAATGAGCTTCAGCCAACATGATAGTAAAACCGTGGGAAGCGTCATTCATTCAACATATCCATCATCTCCAAAAGTTCCCCGACCCATTCTACAAATAATAATCGATAAAATGGGCACAGAAGCTTACCAAAATCACCCAGTCTCTTTCAAAGGCTATGCCAGCACCTAGCCCAGCCAATTGCTCCACAGCAGAGGCAACAACAAGCACCAAAAACCAGGGTTGAAGAAATAAGACAGTGGCCGTAGATGCCATAGGCGCTGCTCCATTAAGGGCATAGATGGTGACACCTGCTGAAGTTAACATAGAGAGTGTCTGGAAGATGGTAAAGAGAATTTTATATTAGCTGCAGAACAATAATAAACTACTTTGCAACTGTCGTCACAAAATTGAATGTGACGAAGACCCAACTCATTCTGAGACAAGGCAAACCCACGCAAACAAAGAGACAAAATTAAACTGCATCGCAAAATCCAAACTGCAGTTACCTCCACAACGCATAGGCACTTAAACGCATGTACCCGAGGCATGGAATCCATCAAAGCTCCCACCCAAGGACCTGCTGCAAATATTACAAGCTGCCAACAGTTCGTATGTCACATAAGTTCACTTTCTTATCACACCGCAAATAACTTCCGTGATTCAAAAGACACCATGAAGACTTAGGACCCGGCCCATCACTGTTATCCTCGATGTCTCGACTGTTTTACTTCAAAAATTAAATCAATGACCCGGTTGCTGCAATGACCAAGATCATAATTGAATCTCCGCCAGTCAATGCCGGCCATTTAGGCCAACAACCACAGATTTTGGAAATCGCTGCAACCGAGAGGTACGAAAGCCTACCTGACTCACAAAGCTGACCACAGCAACAGGAAGTAGGGTATGGTGCATCACGGCTATGACAGCAGGCAAGGCAAAGCGCCAGGTGTGCTCCAGAAAGCAGGAGGCAAAATAGATGCCACAGAGGGCTGAACTACGCATGCAAACCATACACACAACATTCCGTAAGAGAGGAAAGGCTGGAAGACAAAAGTACCTGGCCAACAAAGCTAATCACAGCAACAGAAAGCATGTAGCGACAAATGTAGGATACGTTGCTGGCATGGCAGCATTCCAACACCGTCCCTCGTATAAGCCAGTGATCCATATTTCACCTTGGCTTCCCTTACTTGATATTAAGTTTACATGACCATTAAACAGTGTGTAATGCGAGCATAACTTGAACACAGCATGGAAAACATTACGACAAATATTTCGTGCAATGAAAACACGCTGTTCAGGTGAGTGAAAAATAAAATCTGCGACAGAATTACTATCAAGAACAGAGTGCAATGGAAGCAAATAGAGGTTGCCTTCACATCATGATTAGACAACAGAATAGTTTAGTGAAGCATCCGATAGTAAAGACAGAACAGACCCTTACCGTAAAGACCTCGGGATGTACAGGGGTTGCGGCCAATTTCTCTTGCTCCTCAAAAGACTGGACCTGACGGAAAAAGAAGCAAAACGAATCACTACGGTTCCATTCGATCAACATATCTGAATTCCATTTACACATTCAACAATATACACACGGTGTAACTGAACTACCTAATCGCGATCACTAAAAGTGGTTGTATTAAAAATTGATTAGGTCCCTGCCCACTAAAAATCAGGACCAAATTATTCATGAACCTCAAGCTAAGACCTGCAAATTCCTCCTTATCTGGATAACACTGTGTATACAAAACAACTTCACCACATTCAAGCGACTATCAGCTTTCCCTTGCATGGCAAATATGCGTACCTGCATTGTGGGTAACAAAACTTCCACAACTGTTCCATCTTCAATCGGCAAAGGTCCCCGTTTTGTTCGAAGTCGTGTGTGCCTACTGGTTTCAACACAGTTTCAAAGTCGTTTTGTACCCTCCAGAAAGGTACGGCTGATTCGTCAGAGAAATCCACTTTCAGCACCATGAACGGCTGACTCCTTTTCATAGCATTCAGCAGAGCTTGCATGCAGCTCCACGGAGCACACGCCCAGGCGTTAATAAGGTTGTCGAACATCCATCTCCTTCATTAGAGCTATTGTCCATCGGCTGCAAGGTATCAAACTTGCACTTCCTTTGCCGTCGGAGCTCACCATCACGTCGTGTGCTCAGCTGCTTCCGTGGGCTGCAGCATCTCTCACCTGCACAGCGTGTTGACGGATTCCGGGGACTGAGACACGATGTGCATGGGCAGGGATAACACTAGACTGCACCCCGGCGACCCACGAAACTTGCGACTGCGAGAAGCGACTGTGAAGAAGGCTCAATGGGTACCGGGATCTTGCCTGTTCACGCATTTTGTGCCTCCTGTGTCCGACGCGCAATCCAACAAACCGTCCCTGTGGACAGCGATCTCCACGCCAGCGATATCAGAACCCTAATCGCGGCAACTCTCTGAAGTGAGTTGCAGATGCATGCTCCGAAAACTTCAGTAACTCTCTGTAACTTGAGACTGGGAATTATGCGCAACTTGGACCCGTTCCTCCGTGTCAACTAACGCAAGTTGCTCGTCCTGTCGGTAGCCACCATTTTCGGCATACTGGACGAGGTTACAATCGATTGTACTTTTGGCTTTAAATTTGTTTTGTTTTTCTGATCTCGATTAAGTCGTTTTTGGAAATTTCATGGTCTAGATTTTGTTTACAAAGTTAACAATTTAGCTCAATTTGTATATAATTTGATATTTATTATATAAATTTATTTTTTAGAAATTTTATATGTATAAATAAGAAAAATTATCTGATATTATTGAATATTATGCTATTAGAGATGTAGATACTTTTTAAGATATGTATTTATCCTAAATAGACTAAAGAAAAAAAAGATTAAGTTCCAACTTTCTTTTATAAAAAATTAAATGTTAAAAAAGAAATAAGCATAGCTGATAAATATGATTATCTTTTAAATCAAAATATGTGACAATACTAAAGATAATCTGGCACTTAAAAAAACTGAAATTCATAAAAAGTAAAATTTCTATCATTTATCATAATAATAAAAAATTGTCTTGACTACATATTCAAAATACTATTCAAGAAATAAATATTATTCATACAAAAGATTAAAGTAAGTAATAAAAAGAATAAATTTTAACTGGGTTCTGTTCAAAAAATAATATCCAATATGCTAATCAAAATCTTATTTAAAGATAGAAAAAAGTTGTTGCATACAACAAAAAAGTTGTTGCTTGGTAAATCTTTATATCTTAGATTCACTATCTTTATTATTGCTTGTAAACACCATAATATGAAGGATAAGGTTTTTATAAGAAAAATAAAATAAAATAACATGTAAATATAAAAAATAATAAAATTCACCAAACATCAATTTCTCCATAGCCAAGAATATAATTTACCATCACAAACAATGTAAGCAACAAAATAAAGAAATCGCAGAATAAAAATAAACAAGAAATAACATAAACAACAACACTAAACAATATCACAATCAAGAACAAGAATGCAAAGCCCATATCAAGTTAAGGCACAACATCAAAAAAAAAACAGAAAAAAAAAAAAAAAAAAAAAAAAAATTAACAACCATGTACTCAAACACTAGCAACATGACCACAAGCATCGTCACCTTGATGAGCAATAACAACAATCATACATTTACACACACTAAAGATACAATAGAGCACTTAAAAACTGAAAACCAATCCTAATATCTCCATAGATGAGCTCTACATAGATACCATGGATGGACGTTATGAATTGAATGATGAACTTTATGAATTGAAAGACAATAAGGTATACAAAAACACCAAAAAGAGTACAAAAGCGTACAATAGAGCACTACTGATAGTACTCCAGGAAATAGCTCATCTAAGGTACCTACCTCCTATTGGGTAGAAGTGAGAAAACGACACTATCAATATTGTTATTGTCATTGTTTACTTTATAATAAATATTTTTATCTTATCATATCATATCAGAGGATCCTTGTGGACCCTGGACTCTTTGCAGCGATGACCACTTAACCAGAGACACGGTTATCTGAGCGACTTCTTGTGTCATATTGTGCAAGGACAAGCGCGTAATGGGAAGCGCGTGGAAGTGGGGAATTTTTTTTACCACTGCATCTTGTAGCAGTGGCAGCGATGGAGGTAGATAGACGAAGCGATCACAATGAAACTGACGTATGCAGGTAATGCTGCAGTTTCCTTTCGACTGATCGACGTGCTAGTTCGTTTGCGATGGAGTAAGTAAATGGTGCAGCGAGTGGAATCTGATTGTTGGTCTTGCATCGAGAAATATCCCACTGACACTGTTATATCAGATTACTTGTATTGCAATTTGACGTGGATGACGCATTTCGGATGGTGGAGACCGTATGAATGGGTGTGAACAACGAATGCCATTTACGATCTTGGAGAAATACAATCATTCAATGGCTGTTTGGAATGTCGAACAAGTGTATTGTTTCCACGGCTGGATGAGCTGCTGGCCAATTATCTGTGTTCCTGGCCGAGACTTACCTTGATATGATCATGAGGTTTGTTGACCGCTTTTTCTTCATAGAAATCAACAGTGCTCCGAAGATGATACACGTTCACCTACTTGATCTTAGGAGGAAACAAAGCTTCGTATCAAGACAACACTCACGCACAGCTCTGACTTTCACCGAGACCATGACCACGTGCGAACGTTCGTTGGCCCTGTAGGTCGTTCACCTCAATTACTATGAAATTTACAAGCTCAAACATCTCAGGTATGTTCGCTGCTACCACAGAGGAGCCACTAGGTGCGCGCACAACGAGAAGTAGACACAGTCAGAGAATGTGATTTTGAGGAGGAAGTTTGAGCACAACTCATGTGGTTTTCTGCACTAGAACTGCAGTTACGGTTACGCTGTGAACTACATCTGGTGATCGACAAGTATCAAGGAAATTTCATGAGTCTGTGAAGGTTGGGTATGTCGCATTCCGGAGAGGTTTTCGGAGGAATAGGAATACGGCTGGAAGTTGCGCAGAGGTTTGAAGCTGTCAGGCATAGATTAGGACAGATTGTACCTTGCCGGTTTGTTGACAGTAGTCTGTACAGCTCGCTGGCGGAGTACTATTACGGGAAAACTCTTAAGCCAGTTCCGAAGGGGCCGCAATCTTGGTTCGCCGACATTTGACAAGGTCTTTTTTGTGTTCTTTTTTAAAAAGAGGTTCAGGTAGTGGGGGTAGAGAAGGGAATTTGTGCCGAGTTGTCGATAGTGGTCTGTGAGTTGTACCGGTTTGAATTCTGGGATCGTCGCGGCGTGCTTGGAGGAAGGATACTGGTGGCGAATTCGTAATCTAGCAGGCGGGGCGGTTTGAACGGGTGAGGATACTAGTGCTCCTCTGGTACTGAATTTGCGCATTTCTCCTTGACATCATGATGGTAACGGGTAGTAGTACTCTGTTAGTTGTTTCTTTCCACGTTGGAGAATTTTGAGTGCGTCTCTCCGATGAGAGAAGCATAAGGGTCTCACTGGTAGAGTTTTGTCGGTATTTTTTTCTCGTTGTTTTTGCGAGGGCTTTGTGGTCATACTGTTGCAGAAGCACCTTTCGGGTATGGATGGAATGGTTTTACTGACACGCTGAAAGCTTCGCTGTGGTATCAGATTGATTTCCTTAAGCCTGGGAAGTGGTTTGGAGGCAAACATGGTGGAATCGAGGCGTGTCCGATGGAAAACCCGACTTAATGTCTTCGTGTGGATGAAACACTTGTTCGACAGGAAGCGCGAGGAGTGTGACATTTACTTTGTTAATTTGCTCTTTGGCTCACCGACGCATACTCCTTCACCGACTCCTCCACGAACCCCTACACCGACTTCTCCGCCAAATCCTCCGCGAACTTCTGCGTCAGCTTACGGCTATGCACCAGCCGCAGACTGTGGACACAAGGCTTGGACGCGAGGTGGCCAGCACGATAACGAAGCCAGTTGCTCAAACCCAAGCTCACTTTACTTCGATCCAGAATTCTGTGCCGATTACGTGGAACAGCATGCTATACCGAGCTTACCACAGCTCAGACGGTCTGGTATGACCGTTCCAGCTCAAACTTTTGAATCTAATTTGGAAACTTTCCACCCACGACAAGGAGAAGAATTATTTCCGAACCAAGGCATGAGTTCAAGTGATGCAATGTCGGTGGATAGCTCAGTGGTTCCCAATCCGATACCACGCACATACGAAGCTTGGCTGCATCCATATGCGGTCCCCAATCAGTATCAACAGACATCTCCAACGGATTGTGATATCTCCGTCAATGACTACGTTAATGAATGCACTGATTCGGAGTTTACTGATGCCACGGAGATATTCTCGCAATCTAATTGCTCATACCAGGTCGGCCATCCAAGCGTGTCGATGATGAGCGTCGACCAAGTGGAGAACATAGAGAGTCTGCGAGACACTGGCAATTCTTCCACCCAGTCAATTCAGACGCAAATGATGAGTCAGTACGTCAATTTCCTAGAGAGGGAATTGGGGTTGGCGGGGACGGCGAAAGGTAGGTGGCGTGCGATTGCTTACCTTGTGAAAAACTACTCGACACTATTGCGGTCTCGAAGACAGAATGGAGCTAGTTCGAGTAGCATTATGGGCGAGGAAGATTCCCCCAAATACAAGGGGATTCGGCTACGAAACAATAAGTGGGTAGCGGAAATCAGGGTGGCCAAAACCAAGATAAAAGTGTGGCTGGGTTCGTACACCAGGAAGAAGGACGCGGCGCTTGCGTATGATGCGGGGTTGCATCACTGCAACCAGAAGAAGTTGAAGAAGTTCAACTTCCGAGAGTCTATTCAGAAACTTGGAGCTTCGCAGTACATTAATATTATCAAATTACGTGAGGAAGAGATGAAGACGGCAGTTAAGAAGCTTGCAGAAGATCATGTCAAAGCTTACGGATCGACAAACATTCGGTGAAAGGAAGGGCATGAGCATTGCAGTCACTCTTGGTAGATATTCTGCGGGTTACGTGTACAGTAGCAGCATTGATCGGTACCCACCATTTTTAATCTTCACGATTTGTTTCCTAGATATTCCTCAGAGTTGGTGATAAAGAGCAGTTTAGACCGTGGATGATGTCGAGTTAGTAAACGGATTATTCTTAGTTATACATGTGCGCAATAGAACTGCTCAAGAATTCAGCCGCTTGAATTTTTTTTCTTGACATTGTAGGATGTCGATTTGCTTTGCAAACACGGCGCTTTGCAGAGACTGTTCAGAATTGACTATGTCGCCGCTTTAGAAATGTCGGTAGGATTTAAAAGAGTGTGCCTCAATGAGGCGAGTCTCTTGTGAACCAACAATTGTGAAGCTAGCTCAATGATTTTTTTCTAAAATAAATTACAATGCGTTGCGAGTGAAGCAACATTGCTAAACCGCAAATGAGAGCCTCAAAATTTGCATGTAGATCGTTGGTTTAGGGAATCTTATGAAGGAAGCCAAAAAAATGATCAAAAGCTTGATGAATTGCAGCAAGCATCACATAGAAACATAGAAACATTTGAACACAAATTGTCTTAGTTGTAACACTTCTTACTAGGCAAACAGAATAGCCATGAACTATATCCAAAATGTCTAAGTAATGGTTATTGTAATTTTGATTAGTGATACAACTGTACAGATCTTAAATGTTCTAAGTATTGGTTATTGAAATTGTGATAAATGTAAGATCTGTACAGTTGGTCACTGATCATTCAAAAAGTTGCAATAAAGCATATTTTCACAAAGCAAAAATCTGCAAAAAAAAAAAAAAAAAAAAAAAAAAAAAACTTAATAATAAAAACTTAATAATAAAAAATGGAGCAATAAAATAAGTGGAGCAATGAATTACTGACACAAGCAAGGGACTTAGCTTGGATCACATCTCAACAAGCTAAATTAAACTAAAGATTAGTCACTTTACATTCTACCTAAATTGTATTGAAAAATAATTCAAAAAAATTCTAGAAAACCTTTGATTGGTTTATATAGCTTGAAAAACATAGAATGTGTAATTTACAATGCGTTGAATGCTATTTCTTTAGTGAAAAAATGATGATGTCGAACTAAATTTAATGATGAAAAAAATATGAAAATATATTTATATTTTTCAAAAATTAAAATAAAAAAATACTCATTATGTAATAATTTTGTGATGATGTTTGATTTTGTGAACCAAATTGTATTCCAATATGTTTCTTTTATCAAAAAATGAGTAACATGTTACTGTATTGAAGATTACTTGTGTTCATAAAAAATATCCTAGAAGCATCTTTTATACATGAATGTTTTAGTGATGATATTAATTTTGAGGCATATACCTAATAACTATTTAAAGTTATATTAAAAGCAATAAAAAGTTTTAGGTTGTATGTGTGAATGAATATGTATATAATAAATCATTTTACTTTAAAATAGAATAACTACTCTCAGATTATGTGAATACTTTATCTTAATCTTCAATACAATCAAATCATTGTAATGGTAGAATAAATTCATAGTATCAAGGACATGAATCTCGTAGAAAGAAATCCTCAATACACTCTTGTGCCATTGAAAAGAATTAAAAAGTCACTCAAAGATGATATATTATTGAATTAGAATGGCTATAGCTAAAAACAAGGAAACTAGAAAGACTAGAAATAAGATGAAAGACTAGAAAGGCATTAACAAGAGTGAAGAAGGCTTCATTCTTGCTTCCATATATATATATATATATATATATATATATATATTTTTAATTAGGAGTTACGTGATAATGTCTTATATAACCTCCAAAACGTGTTGACTTTGTAAGACATATATCTTAACTTGCGAAGTGTCACGGACATATGCATGTAAGCCAGTAATTACATGTATAAGTAGATAGAAATAAGTAAAAGTAGATAAAAGTAAGTTTATTCTATAATATTTACTATAGAAGCTTCGTAGAAGCCTCATAGATATTGCTTTGACCTTATAAGTACCTTTAATTGACTTTTTGGATTAAAAACGTAGTCAACAAGTTCGCCATGTGCCACACATGTTGTTAGCTTGAAGACCAAGCTAACCATATGACCCACACGTAGAAAAACTTGCCTTGTAAGTTAAGGCATGTGTCCTATAAAGTCAATACATATTGGAGGTCCTATAGAACATCGCCACGTAGCTCCTAGTTAGATAGTATTTATAGAGACAAGAGTAAAGCCTTCTTCACTCTTGTCAACTCCTTTCTTATTTCCACTCTAGTTTCAAGGGTTTCTAGTTTTCTTGGCTTTTAGCAATAGCCATTTCGGTTTCTTTCTTAATATACATATCAAGTTATTTCAATTTTGTCATCTTTCTTTGAGAGAAGTCTCACTTGTTTATTTGTTTTTATCATATTCTTGTCCTTGACAGATTGAGAAGAGTACACTTACAATATTAGAGCTTTGTCTAATCTTGATTTAGAATGGATTATCTCTTTCTCTTGATAAAACATAAGCATATTAGAAGTTGCAGATTACCCTCTTCTAAATTGATATTGTCTTTAGTATTTTCTTTGTTCTCAAGTCTTCTCTTCTATTTGTCTTAAGTAATATTAGACATCTTCTCTTTTCTAAGTGTTATCATGGAAGAACTTGCTGAAATAAAGAGTACAATGGCACAAATGCAAGAGCAATTGAGGAAATTAATGCTTGCGATGCATTAACTCAATTTACCACCATAAGGAGCAATAAGATTGACAGAAAGTGAAGATATAAAAATGATTGGAGCTGCTTCAATATTTGCACCAAATTATGTTCCTTCTCGTATGGTTGAATGCCCTTTCAATGTTAGAGAACCAAGAATTATCCTACTCGAGAAGTTTGATGGCATTAGATCAAAGTTTAGAAGATTTATCAATCAAGTACAACTTGTGATTGAACTTCAACTCTAAAGCTATCCAATTCTAGGATCGCAAGTTAGATTCATTAATATGCTTCTTTCAGATTCAGTATTATCATGATTTTCTTCTTTTCTTAAACGACGAGATCCAATATTAGATAATCTAGAGGCTTTTTTGGTGGAGTTTTGATCCATATATGGAGAATAAGATGCAATTCGTATTGCAAGTAATAAGATTCATATTTTGTGATAAGGTAATCGATCAGTAACGTTGTATGCTTCACAATTTTGATAACTTGCAACTGATATCAAGTGGAAAGATGCTGCACTTATTAGTCAATTTTTCTATAGATTACAATATGAGGTAAAAAAATTAATGCTCAACTTACTTGATCTTCAAACATTGAGTCAAGCAATTGACTTTGCTATGAAGTACGACAATTATCTTTTTGAATTCTGATGTGAGAACCGTATAAGTGGACCTCAACGTTACCATAATTCAATGGCAACACCAACATCTTCTCAATACATACATTTGGAAGTAGAGGATATGCAAATTGATGCGATATGTTTCAAACCTCTTACTGAGCAAAAAAAGACTTGTCATTGTCTGAAAAGATTGTGCTTATATTGTGGAGAATCTAAGCTCACTGCTTAATATTGCCCAAAAAAGTGACGCAACCATAAAATGAAGAGTATAGCAATCAAAGAAGATAGCATGTCAGAAAACAAATTTGTCCAATTACAATAGGGACCGTGCAACTGGAACCTTATACAATGCCTAGTGAAGGTCCTATCCTCTCCTCAGAACCCTCTCCATGTTTTATGATAAATGTTATTCTAGGACCTAAACATCACAAAGCCTCTGCCTTGTTAGATTTAGGAGCCTCAACATGTTTCTTAGATGAAGAATTTGCTAAAGGACATAGCATATTTTTAGTGAAGAAAACTAAATCTGTTCATGTAGAAGTCATAGATGGTCATCCATTATTTTCAGGAGATGTTATTCATGAAACCCTTTGTATAGAAATAGCAATTAATGATCATAGCAGCTTTGTAATATTTAATATCATTAGATCTCCCTCTTATCTAGTCATTTTAGATTTATCATGGCTAAAAAAATATAATCCTAAAATAGATTGGACTTTTCGTAGTCTTGATTTTTTTGAAAGTATAACTAAGAACGTAGTTAATCAAGTAGAAAGTCATAAATCTAATATAATTAAACCTATATTTGTAGGTGCAAGAGCTTTCTTGCATGCTGCAAAAAAAGGATCACCTTGTGTCATTTATGCCACATTTGTTTCTACTGGTAGAAAGACTTCAAGTGGTATTTCAAGCCAATATCAAGATTTTCAAGATGTATTTGAGAAGAAGAATGCAAATACTCTTTCAAAACATCATTCATATGACTGCTCAATTGACCTTCAAGAAGAAGCACAATTGCCATTTAGACCAATCTACAATTTATCTCAAAATGAGTTGGCTGAACTCAAGGAGTATATTGAAGAGAATTTGGCCAAGAACTTCATATGCCACTCCAAATCTCCAGCAGGAGCTTCAATTCTATTTGTGAAAAAAAAAGATGGATCATTATGGATGTGTGTCAATTATCGAGGACTCAACAAAATTACTATCAAAAATAGATACCTGCTATCTTTGATATCTAGACTCCTTGATCAGTTGAATCAAGCTAAGATCTATGCAAAAATAGATCAATGAAGAGTATACAATCTGGTACGCATCAAAGAAAGAGATGAATAGAAGACTGCCTTTCGAACAAGATATGGATATTTCAAATATAACGTCATACCTATTGGACTTATAAATGTATCAGTAGTATTTGAACATCTAATGAATTATGTCTTTCGGGATTTTTTAGATGATTTTTTTGTCTGTTACCTAGACGATATCTTAATCTATTCTAAGAATATAGAAGAACATGAAGTTCATATTCGTCATGTATTACAAAAATCAAGAGATGCGGGACTCTATGTCAAGATTAAAAAGTATGTATTTCACACTATTCAAGTCGGCTTCTTAGGATACATCATTTCAAATGATGGACTTATGATAGATCCTAAGAAAGTTCAAGCTATTATGGATTGGAAGATTCCAAAAACAATAAGAGATGACCAATGCTTTTTGAGATTTGCTAACTACTATTGGAACTTCATCAAAGACTTCTCTCAAGTTGCAACTCCACTTACACATTTGACTTGTAAAGACAAACTTCAATGGAAACAAAAAGCACAAGTAGCATTTGAAGCTTTGAAGATAGCCTTTGTTTTTACACCAATCTTGTATCGCGTCAATTTTTCTAAGGCATTTTTTATGGAAACAAACACATCAGATTTTGCTTTGAGTGTTGTATTGTCACAAATGGGAATAGATGATAAACTTCATCCAATATCTTTTCATTCCAAAAAATTTTTAGCAATTGAGATCAACTACGAGATCCATGACAAAGAACTTCTTGTAATCTTGGATTCGTTTTAAGAATGGTGCCATTATCTAGAAGGTGCTTCTAGCCTAGTCTCAGTGTATATGGATCACAA